TATGAGTCAGTACCAACTCAATGGCACCTAACAAGAAGAAGAAGAAGAAGTAGGGGTAGGATAGACATTGAACTGATGACAACAATGTTGATGGTTCAAACCCACTAGCTGCTCCTTTGAAACCCTGTACAGGGTCTTCAGAACTAACTTGAAGGCGCTTATCAACAGCAAAAATAATCGGAGAATATAAACATTTTATTGAAACTACAACAACAACAAAAAAGGAGAAATATGATTTCCCATCTGCTTTATGGAGATTAGCCATAAAAGAAGTACAGCTAACTGCTAAAGGTCTCCACGCAGATTCTCTGTCTTAATGACTGATCCACATTTGATGTCTGACAGTGTGTCCCCTGAGGCTGTGTTGTGAACATTGAAATATGGATGCATTATCTCCAGAGAGTTAATGTGCATTTTAGTTCTAGAAAAATACATGTAGCCCTAGAAAATATGTAGTTGTAGAAAAATGCAGGTTGACTATCTTGACTGTTTGTTTCAGTGGCTCATGCATACTAAGGCGATATTCATTTCTATTTGGAAGTGACATTATCTTAAGAAACATGTCTAGAGGGAGAAGATTAAGGAATATTGAATGTATTTTACAACCATTGTGTAGATAGTTTATTTTATGTGTCTTGAACAAGTGTGGAGTCCTGGTGTGGTGTGGCCAGATAAGCACTAGACTTCTGACCACAAGGTTGGCGGTTCAAATCCACCAGTCACTCCTTGGAAACCCTGTAAACGGTTGCTATGAGTTGGAATCAACTCGACAACACTTAACAACAACATAAAGGCATTGAACAAGTAATGTTTAAAAATCAACAGATTCTTCCCCATATGAAGATGAAGGAAACTTTCCTCCAGTGTTTCCCACGCAAGTCCCTCCAGAGGAGTATGAAAACCATCTGAAGTATACCAACCAAGGTATGTTGTAAGTGCACCTTGCCTGTGCTGAGTTACGGGTTGGGGTTTTTTCCCTTTTGGACTTAATGTGGCAGATTATCCCATTATGTAGGATGAACTACATTTGCCACTTACAAGGACTCTTCGTGTTTATTTTTGGAGTTTTAATGAAGAGTTCAGATAGTCGTGTTTTAAAACTTTATTGTGATAAGAATGAGACCAGGATATTTAATCAAGGGAATACAAGTTCACAAGTATTCTTCTGACCTGTGATCTGAGCACTCAAGGACTGAACATCTCAGGTTTACTCAAGTCTCATACCAAAGATTGATAAAAATGGATAAACTAAGTGGGATTTTAGAGGATTGTAACCACCCAAGGTGCTTATACTTGCCCTTGCTTAAAAGACAGGTTTGAACAAAAAGTTTGTTGTTCAGAACGAGTGATATAAAATTAATGGAATAGCAGGAAAGGACTATAGTCTTCAGTGAAAGTTTTTTTTTTTTTTCATAAAGACTAAAAAAACTGTATTTCAAAATTCCCATTATATCCGAGGTTTCTGATTCATACGTATCCCTTGAAGTTCTTTTCATGTTCTCCCAAGGAGTCAACAGCAATAAGTTTGATACATATTAATTAGGAAGCAAGTTTTAATGTCTTCAAAGTTATGGCAACACAGTTTTCTTTTTAAGATTAAGTCTCCATCTATATTAGATCTGTGGATATGGAATTCTGAATTTAGTTTTTCTATGTGTGTTTTATTTCTTATGTATTCCAATATCTCTTTACTTGAATTTTTAGCATACTTGACAACTATAGTTTTGAAAACATTTTGAACTTTTTTAATATTAGGTTTTACCTATGATGTGGAAAGAAATGAATCATTGATCAAATCAGATAAGAAGCCTTCAAATACAGAAAATCTTGAGCTCAGGGGTAAACATAACCAGGATTTTATTAAGAGAAACATTGAGGTATGTACTTAGAAATTCATATGCCAGAATGTGTGACTAAACAAGTTTTGAAAGTGGTAATAGTTGTGTTCATTGCCTTTAAATACATATATATTTTTTTCACCTCAATGCACGTAAAACAGTATATATACCTGAACAGAAAGTTTCATGAATGAACACTTATCTTGACTAGCATTCAGTACATTATTTTTTCTATTCCATTACATCCTATTCTACCCTATACTATTTTATCCTTTTCAAAAATATTATTTGCAACTCAGTAACATTTACTACCACAAAGGAGCCAGGGATTTGCATTTTGAAAAACATTTATCTGGATAATATTTTTAGACTTAAATTACATATTCATAATTTTTTTAAGGTAATGAGACTGATTTTTAAAGCTGGTGCATTTGGACATTTGAATGGAAAATGCGCCTGGAAGAGCAGAGGCGGCTGGCGAGGCCAACTTGTTCCTGTCCCCCAGAGCCTACTGTCAGCCAGCCACTTGCTTTGAGGACCTTGGCCTTGTTCTCTTGCAGGCTCTTCAGTCTGACTTGGCTGACCATTAAGACAGACTCAGACTATCCAAGTCTTCTTTTTTGGAGGGTGGGAGTAAAGGTAATTTACACAAATGTGAAATTAATTTATAACAAGAAACTTTAAGTGTGGGTGGGCAGAGACCTTATGGCAAACCACTTAAGCATTTAAGCGATCAGAAAACTGCACTGGTTAGTGTGAAGCATTAGCATAAGGAAAGAGGTGAATAATTCCTCCCCATTAAAGTCTGATGTCTTTTCCACAATTGTCACGTCATTTCCAGGCAGACTGGATTCATGGGTCAGGTTGCTACTGCCAGCACTGGTCTCTGGAGCTCTCAAGTTTTCTGTGCTCCACATTTGGGTGACCTCTATCCAGATATCTTCTTTCCAACTTGATCTGTCTCTTGTCTTTGCACTGACCCATTGTATGTTGATTTATTGTTTAATTTTTTCCAAGAGCTTTAGTTTCCCCATCTCCAAGTTCATGCTGAGTTCTTCCTACCACTGATATAGGTAGCATCTCTGCTGGAGATTTTCTCTTTCCCTTTTATCAATAAATCAAGTCTTTACTTAAACTCTGGTAACAATAAGTATATTGTTGTATTAAGTATTCATGTAGTGGATGCATACCACACAAACAATAACAACAACAACACCAAACCCACTGGCATCAAGTTGATTCTGATTCATAGCCACCCTAAATAGTATTTCCTAGACTTCAAGTCTTTATGGGAGTAGGTAGCTTTATCTTTCTGCCAAGAAGCAGCTGATGAGTTTAAATCACCCACCCTGTAGTTACCAGCCCAGTGCTTAATCCACTTTTTTTGAAAGCACCCTAATTAGATGAAGACAAGTATATTACTGAGAGAATTTGTCCACTGATGGCAGAGACCTGTCTTTAAGAATAAAGAAGGTCCTGAAAGCCCTCGGACCACCACCCCATTCTCAATAGCCCTCCAAGCCCTCTTTCCCCCTTTTCATTTGGGAGGCAGTCTTCGGAGGATACGTGGTCTGTCTGCCTACTGTGCCAGCAAACACTAATGAATACATCACGGACTGCCAGAAGAACAAACACATCTGTTTGGAAGAAGTATGACCAGATTGTTCCTTGGAAGCAATGATGGCAAGGCTTCCACTCTTATGCTTTGAACATGTTGTTAGGAAGGACACCAGTCCCTGGAGAAGGAAGGACATCATGCTTGGTAAAGTGGAGGGTCATACTAAAGAGGAAGATTCTCAATAAAGTGATACTGTGAAAAAAACAATAGTCTCAAACATAATAATTATGAAGATAATGCACGACCGGGCAGTGTTTTGTTTTGTTGTACATAGGTTGCTATGAGTTAGAAGTGACTTGAGGGCACCTAACACAACAACAACACATCCACACACATTCACATATATGGCACAGTGATAAGTTTTCAGCTGCAAGTCAAAAAGTCGGCATTTGAAACTTACCAACCAGAGGCTCTGCAGGAAAAAGATGCAGCAATCTGCTTTCTTAAAGATTTGTTGTTGTTATGTACTGTCAAGTCGGTTCCAACTCATAGCGACCCTGTATAGAGTCTCTAAGGAGCAGCTGGTGAGTTTGAACTGCTAACCTTGTGGTTTACCGTCCAGTTCAGATCCTATAGCACTACACCAGGAATCCTAAAAGATTTACAGCCTTGGAAACTCTATGAGGCCGTTCTTTTGTCCTATAGGGTTGCTGTGAGTTGGAATCGATATATATGTTTATTGAAATGGTGAACATGAGCGTCTACTTATCATGGTAATATGTTTTTGCTCCAAGAATGTATCAGTACCAAATATTTGCCATAAAATAAAGTTACTTAGTACAGCCTGACTATATTGATTTTATCTAAATGCATCTATACTGTAGAAACTATAGGTATCATTTATATTTTCCTGAACTAGAATTGGCTTTGAGTGTTTAATGTTTAACTAATGCATTTTGCAGTTGGCCAAGGACGCAGGAAACACAGTGATTATGATTGATAAAGAGAAGAAAAGACTGGTTGAACTTTTGAAGGACTTAGATGATGCAGACTCTGGGCGTTGCAGCTCTGAGGTATGTAGATTATAATATCCTATAGCTTAGACATGACTAAATTTTTATTTTTATCACATTATTGACCCATCAACATAAATTTATAATAATTTTTCAGATTATTTGACAATAGACTCTGACTTTAAAAAATATCCTGTATCACACATTTATTTATTTATTATTGATTTTGTTTTTTAGGAAAGAGGTCAAGTTTTTATTTGATTATTTTGAACATATTTGATAGATTTATTCAAATGCAATGTCCTTTGTACACTTGGGGGTTGGGTTTAAAGACCTTGTCACTGTCTTCATTTCTGAGCTTCAGAGTCCAGAATTTTTATTCAGTTTCATTAAGGAGGCATCATTAGTTGAACTTAACCTCCAATTAGAAGTCAAGCTTTTCAAAGCTCCAGGGGTTACACAGGGCCACAGCAAGGATAGCTGGGTACCAGCTGAGGATAAAGGAAATAGCCCCCTGCTTCTGCCTGGACTGCAATAAAAATGGCATAGCAGAGGCATCTGATCTCCTTTGTCTTCACAAACCAACACCAAACCGATTGCCATCAAGTCAATTCTGACTCTTAGTAACCTTGTGTTTCTGAGACTGCAAGTCTTTATGGAAGCAGACAGCCTCTATTGTCTTTTGTAGACTGGCTGGTGGGTTTGAGCTGCTGACGTTGCAGTTAGCAAATTAAGATCAACAACCCAAGGCAGATTCCCGTGAGGCAGAGGTCAGACATCACCCTCTCTCCATTTTTACCAATTCTGACACCAACTGTCCCTCCCATGATACTCTATTTCTGGGTTCGATAATTCATTGCAATCGTTGTTAGATACTGTAGAATTGGCTCCAACTCATAGTACAACTATGAAACACTGCCCAGTCCTGCTCCACCTTCATAATTACTGTCATGTCCGAGCCCATTGTTGCTGCTACTATGTCAGTCCATCTCGTTGGGGGTCTTCCTCTTTTTCACTGACTCTCCATTTTGCCAAGCATGCTGTTCTTCTCCAGGGACTGGTTCCTCCTGACAACATGTCTGAAGTATAAGAGAAGTCTTGCCATCTTGGCTTCTAAGGAGCATTCCGACTACTTCTTCCAAGACAGATTGGTTTGTTCTGGCACTTCACACATTTTTTTTTTTTTATTGAAGTTTTGAAATGCATTATTGACTCTCAAATGATTATTTTATAAAAGTGGTTGTTGTTCTTGTTAAGTGTCATCAGATTTCCGACTCACAGCTATCTTGTATAGGGTTTCCGAGGTGCAGCTGGTGAGTTTGAACCACCGACCTTGCAGTTCAAATCAACTGTGGTCCAGTGCTTATCCAACAGTGCCACACCAGGATAAGCAAGTGAGTGCATATTGTTTGTCACAATAATAACCTCTGCTTGCAGTACCAGTGATAGTATTGATTATCACTGGGGACATAGGAACGCATTTCTCCTTAACCCTTTACTCGGGACATTGCTTATTAGCTCTAAACTGGCTTCTTGTTATCTTCTAAACTGGTATTTTGTTGTACTAGACTTCAGTAGGACTCCTGGTGTGGCACTGTAGGAT